AGATCGAAGGTTCGAATCTGGGGAGAGCATGGATGAGCTCCCTCTGTCAGCTCCATCTTCCCATGCAGGGATATGAGAGAAGCCTCCCACAAGGATGGTAAAACATCAAAACATCTGGGCATCCCCTGGGCAATGTCCTTGCAGAACCCAATTCTCTCACACCAGAAGCAACTTGCAGATTCTCAAGTAGCTCCTGACACGAAATAATAATAATAATAATAATAATAATAATAATATATTGTATATAATAAATAATAATAGTAATAATATTTTGCATCTTGTAAGCCACTCTGAGTTCCCTTCGGGGTGAGAAGGGTGGCATAGAAATGTTGTAAATAAATAAATAAATAAATAACCCCAAACATCTCCAGGCACTCAGAACCTAAATAACCTTCTGCATGCATGTTATAAGCAGTGGCATTGTTCATGACATCATTTAACTGACCTCTAAATCCCTGATTGTATTTATTTATGGAAGACTAGCCGTCCCCTGCCACACGTTGCTGTGGCCCAGTCTGTGTGTATGTGTTTTGTGTGTGTATATATTTGTGTATATGGGTATTTATGTGGTTATGCATAAATACACATGTGGTTATGCCAAAGCCCCCAGTGGCGCAGTGGATTAAACCACTGAGCTGTTAAACTTGCTAACCAAAAGGTCGCAGGTTCGAATCGGGGAGCGGCATGAGCTCCCACTGTTAGCCCCAGCTTCTGCCAACCTAGCAGTTCGAAAACATGCAAATGTGAGTAGATCAATAGGTACCGCCATCTCTGATGGGAAGGTAATGGTGCTCAAAGCAGTCATGCCGGCCACATGACTTTGGAGGTATCTATGGATAATGCCGGCTCGTGGGCTTAGAAATGGAGATGAGCACCAACCCCCACCCCAAGTCGGATACGACTGGACTTAATGTCAGGGGAACAATGTGGTTATGTGCATGCGTTGTAGTGTATTTTTTATTTTTTAGCTTTTTAAGTCTCTTCCGCTGTGTTTTCCAGTGTTTTTATGAGTGATGGTCACTCGTTGGCCTGATAGGTGCACTGTGTCCAAATTTGGTTTCCATTCGTCCAGTGGTTTTTGAGTTATGCTAATCCCACAAACTAACATTACATTATTTATATATATATATATATATATATATATACACACACACACACACACACACACACACACACACACACACACGTGTGTGTACAGTGGCATACAAAATGTAAAAGAAAAGAAAACAAACATCAAGTAAACATAATACGGATATGTAATTCCACCAAACCCGCCCACCCGTGAACGCCCACTCAGTGTGACCCTAACATCTCCTTAAACCCTGATCTTTGCGTTAAGAAGTGCAGCTACTGGGAAGCCTACTCTTGCCTCCCTTCCGAAATATCCAAGGGCCGAGCCCCAAATACCACGAGAGAGAGAGAGAGAGAGAGAGAGAGAGAGAGAGAGAGAGAGAGAGATTAACTCCTCATTTGGACCATTTTCCTTTCTGATCCTCCTTCATAAGTAACTCCCCCCCCCACCCACCCCCACCCACCCACAAGGTGTTGCTTCCTGCCCGGGGACAGACTCCCTGCACCTTCTGTACTTGTTCTTTCACAAAACGAACGCCATTACCTGAGATTTTGATTTTCTTCACGATCTTGCTGGTGGTGTTGTTGATGCTGACGTTGACCCCGATGGGATCCCCGTGGTAATACACCTGGAACGACACAGTGGGGAGGGAGGAATCAGGTCGTTGGAGGGCCGTTTCCGGCCCGTCTTCTTCTCTTCCGTCCTCACATCGGAGGAATGACAACGGGGTGTGTGTGTGTGCGTGTGTGCTTGCCCACCTCTTTGTCCAGGGAGGCCTCCAGGTGCAAGGGCTTGTCGGACATCATGAACTGCCGGGTCGTCTCCGACTTCGGGGCCGGGCCGGTGCTGATTGGGGCAAACTGGATCTTCCGGATCACCAGCCGCACCGAATTCCTGAAGGAGAAAAAGCCTTGTGTGTGTGTGTGTGGGGGGGGGGGGGGCTTCCTCTTAGGTAGGAACTTGTTTCTTGTCCCTTATGTAAGAACCCATAAGGCCAATGCTCAGATGCTACGGAACAGAAATGGCTCTTCAAGCGTGTTTGGTGGGGACGAGAGACAGGGCCTCCGCGGTGGTGACTCCTCGGCTATGGAGCTCTCTCCCGAGCGAGATTAGATCTGCCCCCTCCCTCTTGTCCTTCAGGAGGCTGGTGAAATCCTGGTTATGGAAGGAAGCATTCCCAGAATGATGGCTGAGACTGGCTACAGACCACAGTGAGCGACCACATATGTGGACTGAGCTGAACATGATTTTACCTTGGCGATTTCGTACATACGTATTTTATCTATATGTATTTTAAACTTGTATTGTTGTATGATGTTTTAACTTGTCTTAGTAGCATTGAATCCTTGCTGTAAGCCGGTCTGAGTCCCTTTACGGAGGTGAGAAGATCGGGATATAAAAGTTTTAAATAATAATAATGATAATGATGATAATAATAATAATTCAATTGGAAAGAGCTTTTCTTTATTGGTGTCGAGCCTCCAGCCTCTTATTAATGCGTAACTGTGACAACGTAACTTAGCCATGCCGTTGTTTAAGGCTGCCTTTACTGTTATTATTATTATTATTATTCTGATGTGGGTCTTGGGTGTCATTTGGGGGGTTTCGGTTAGTTCGTTCTTTGTTGAGGATTGTATGGCATGCAGTGATTGCTCAGCTTGCTGTAAACTGCCCTGAGTCCCCACGGGGAGAGAGGGCGGGATATAAATAAAGGTATGTTGTATTGTATTGTATAGATTACTGCAACGCACTCTACGTGGGGCTGCCTTTGAAGATGGTTCAGAAACTGCAGTTAGTCCAATGGGAGCCAACCAGATTACTAACTGGGGCGACATACAGGGAGCATACCACCCCCCTGCTATGCCGGCTCCACTTCTGAGCCCAATTCAAAGTGCTGGTCTTGACCTACAAAACTCTACATGGTTCTGGCCCAGCTTACTTGTCTGAACGCATCTGCCTCGACGTCCCACCTCGTAACTTAAGATCATCCAGGGAGGCCCTGCTCTTGCTCCCACCAACATCACAAATGTGGCTGGTGGGGACGAGAGACAGGGCCTTCTCGGTGGTGCCCCCCCCCGCGTGTGGAACGCGCTTCCGAGCGAGATACAATCCATCCCATCCCTCCAGGAAGAAAGTAAAATTGTGGCCGTGGGACCAGGCTTTCGGTCAGCGGATATAAATCAGCACTTTAGTGGAAATGGATTGGAAAGGAGATTTACATGAGGAGACGATTCTATTTGGTAACAAATGTTTTGATATTGTTCAATTAATGGCTTATGGATTTTATGTATTTTAATGGTTTGTTTAAGGGTTATTGTATTGATTGTTCATGTAACGGCATCAAATTGCTGCCTATGTAAGCCCCCCCGAGCCCCCCTTTCGGGGCAGAGCGGAGACGGGATAGAAATACCAGAAATAAATAAATAAATTATATTGTATTACATTATAGTAAAGGTAAAAGTTTCCCCTGACGTGAAGTCCAGTCGTGGCCGACTCTGGGGGTTGGTGCTCATCTCCATTTCTAAGCCAAAGAGCCGGCGTTGTCCGTAGGCGCCTCCAAGGTCATGTGGCCGGCATGACTGCATGGCGCACCATATGATATATTATATTATATTACATTATATATCATGTCAGAAGCCAATTGAGAATAATGTATCCCAACATGGAGTGGCTGCAGGAAGGTCTTCCATTGCGCACGTTCCCGTCTCTTGGCCACTCTCAAACCCCACGGCGCACGGCAGTCAAGGGTGGGCGCTGCTTTTGCTAATTTGGCCCCCTCTCCCCACCTTTCGGTATTCCTTCTGCAGAATTAAACTATTGCATGCTTAATCTCCACGAGAGCCACGTGGTCTGCTCTGCACCCACGGGATGCTACGGAATGGCCGCTCCTTCTTGCTTTGGATGACCTGGGGATGACGGGGAATGCAACCCCAGGCGCCTGGTGGCTCTGAGGTCGGGGAGAGGTCAGAGGGCGCTTTGGGGTCAGGCGCATCCTGTCCGATTCTCTTCCCAATGGAAATGCCCGGGGAAGCCATCATTTACCTCTTGTGAATCTTCTCCTCCAGGTTCTCGGCACAGAAGCCCTTGACCTCGAAGTCTACGCCGCAAGACTGCCGGGGAGGGGCAAAAGCAGAAGAGCCGTTTGCGGGAGGACACAACCCAATCCCTCCCAGCAGATGACCGCCCAGCTTCACCGACACTGAAGTAAACAGAGCTATGCAATCACAGCCTCCTAGGATGGGAAGGCAGCCTTAATGGGCCATTTGCAGAAGGACACAATCTGATCCCCCCCAACAGATGGCCATGGAGACAAATGGGGCTATAGAATCACGGGAATCACCTAGATTTGGACGGCGGCCTTAAAATACACAAGAATTTAGTTGCAGGAAAGATCCGTACCCTCAACTCCTCCCAGGGTCTGACTGATAAACAAGTGCGAAAGGAACCGGTGGGAACTCAGAACGCAATGGACATTCTCTCGATTCCTTCCGAAGAGATCTCCTTACGGGTCTTTTTCGGTGTCCTGACTTGGCTTTGTCTTCTGTTCTCACCTGTCTTACGTGTCTCCCCCCCCCCCCCTCTTCAAACTGCAGACTTGGCTCTTCAATACCTTAACCTTGCTTTCCCAAGCTTTGCCTTATGCTCTTCCATCTTTGTCGTCCTGAACATTGACTCCGTTTCCTGAACCAGAGACTCAAACCTTTGACTGGGATTCCTTAACTTTTGACTAGAGTTTCCTCGGCCTCAGACGCGGAGGACGTTGTGAGGCTCCCGCAAGGCTCCTCGGCGCCCTGGGACTGGTGAGGCTCCCGCGAGGCTCCTCGGCGCCCTGGGACTGAGTAACGGGCTGCCAAGGAGTTGCGGAAGAGGACGGCACTCCCTGCCTGGGGGGCCGGGGGGGGGGGATTCCTGAAGGGAGGGGGTCCAGTTAAGGTTCCCTCCCTATATGAAAGCCCCAAGGGGGTCGTGCTGAGAAAAGACGCACCTTCCCAACGTCGTCTGGTCCGGGCTGCAGGGTGACCGAACAGGGCAGGTTGGTGGCCATCTGCAGAAGGAGGGGAGAAGGGGGAAAGTCAAGGGGGGTCTTCTTGGGGGGAGGGGGAGGGGGGAGGAGGTCTCCTTGCTCCGCACCTCGAAGGTGAAGGGGTAGGCGTTCTCCCCCAGCTTCTTCAGCAGCTTATCCTGCAGCGGCGTCAGGGTCTTGGGGGCCTGGTCGGGCACCGGAGGGAAGATCTGGGTCACCAGGACGTAGAGGTCCTTCCGGAAGGTCAGGCCAATGACATCCAGGTCGTCCCGGCCATAGCGGAAGGCGCCCGTGAGGGTCACGTAGACTGCGCCCGCCAGGAAAGGGGGGGGGAAAGAGGGACACCCGGCCGGTTAGTTGTCCCCAAGAAGGAAGGCAAGGGGACCTGTCTGCCTTGACCACCGAGCGGGAGGAGCCTCACCTTTCCTGTCCTTCAGGTACTCGGGGTCGATCAGGACCACTCCATCTGCAAACCAAGGGGAAAAGAGGAGGGAGGGCCCCGAGCCCGGAGTCAGAAGGCCGTCATGATGCGGGTCTCAGGTGGGTCGACGTTGGGGACCAACAAGCGAGCCCTCCCCCATTAGCCCCCCCCCCCAAAATTCACTCACCAACAGGGTCCACGTGATCCACGTGATCCACGAAATCCCGCTTCCCCAGGTAGATGGATAACTGAATGGGCAGGAGAGAAGCCCCCTCAACTTGGCTGGCCAACGGCACACGCCCCCCCCCCAGTGCAATGATGCCCCCTTCCCACTGTCCCAAAGCCCCCCCCCCCACCCCCACCTACGCACCCCCCCCCCCCCCCCCCCCCCCCCCCCCCCCCCCCCCCCCCCCCTCCCCCCCCCCCCCCCCCCCCCCCCCCCCCCCCCCCCCCCCCCCCCCCCCCCCCCACATATATCCATGAATATGAATATTGCCGTTCATGGAAGCAACCAACTTGCGGGAAGCTGGGTCCGCCCTGAGAAGAAGACCCTTCCTTCCCCGCTGCAGCGGTCCTCTTACCTTCCCATTGGGACTGGTCTTCTTGAACACTCTGCCAAGGGAAGCACAAGGGGCGGGGGGGGGGGGGGGCTTATTAAGGCTGCTCCTGGTTCTTGTGTGGTGTGCCTTCTCCAACTGGGAACCCCGAGGGGGTCCCGGAGAGAGAGGGAAAGGCGGCCATGATCCCCGGACCGCGAAGGGGAAGCCCCACCAGCCCAGGGGCCCACGCAGAATGTAGGGAGGGGCAGAAATCTCCCTCACAATATTTGCAACAATATTCACTAAACATTCACAGAAATATTTATTAAAATATCTGCAGGAACAATCCTTACAATATTCTCAGGGAATATTGAAATTAAAATATTATCAGAAATAGTCGTTAAAATATTTGCAAAAATATTCACTTAATCACCCGAGATGCCAAGGCGGAGGGGAGGGGTGAGGAGAAGCCCACCCTGGGGGGAGCGTGGCCTGGGACCCCCCCAAGGCAAGGGGGCAAGGGGGGCAAGGGGCTACTTGGATCCGTCGGCCATGGTCCCGGGGCGCGGAGGCGGAGGCGGGCGACCTGGAAAGAAGGAAAGGGGGAGGAGGGAGGGGAGGAGGAGGAGGGGGAGGGGAACAGAGACCCCACCTCAACATTAGGGAGGACTTCCTGGAGGGAAGAAGGGCTCTTTGGTTGAGAAATAGGCTGGCAGAGCCTCCTTCTCTTGCGGTTTCCAAGCAGAGACGGGATGGCCATCTGTGGGGAGGGCTTGGGTTATGTTTTCCTGCCTGGCAGAAAGGGGTGGGACTGGATGGCCTTTGGGGGCCCCTTCCAAATCTAGGATACTATATCAATCATAGGTGTGTGTGTGTATATATCTATCATACCTATCACAGCTATGATTGGATGGCCATCTGTTGGGAGGGCTTAGGTTGCGTCCTCCTGCCTGGTCGAAGGGGGTGGGACTGGATGGCCTTTGGGGGTCATTGAGGACTCTCTCTCTCTCTCTATATATATATATATATATATCGTACCTATCTATCACTGCTATGGCTGGATGGCCATCTGTTGGGAGGGCTTAGGTTGTGTCCTTCGGCCTGGCAGAAAGAAGGGGTGGGGCTGGATTACCTCTGGGGTCCCTTATCAATCATATCTAGCAAAAAATTAATCTGTGTACAATATTGTTATTTGTTGTTTGCTGTGTTTTTAGATTCTGTTGTTCTGTCCGTACTGTGTTTGTGTTCTTGTTTGTATGTATTTATTTTCTGTAAGCCGCCCCGAGTCCTGATGGAGGGGGGCGGGATACAAATAGAGAGAGGTGATGATGAGGATGATGATTTTCTAGCATAGCTGTGACTGGATGGCCTTTAGGGGCCCCTTCCAAATATAGGATACTATACACACGCACATATGTGGGTCCCCCGGCGGCGCAGCGGGTTAAACCGCTGAGGTTCTGAACTTGCTGACTGAAAGGTTGGAAGTTCGAATTTGGGGAGCAGGGGGAGCTCCTGCTGTTAGCCCCAGCTTCTGCCAACCTAGCAGTTCAAAAATATGCAAATGTGAGTAGATCAATAGGTAGCGCTTCAGCGGGAAGGTAACGGCGCTCCATGCAGTCCTGCCAGTGGCCACATGACCTTGGAGGCGTCTACGGACAACGCCGGCTCTTCGGCTTAGGAATGGAGAGGAGCACCAGAGTCCCAGAGTCGGACACGACGAGGCTTAAGGTCAGGGGAAACCTTTACCTTTCGCTATACACATATATATCTCAATCATGACTATCTACCACAGCTATGATTGAATGGCCATCTGTTGGGAGAGCTTAGGTTGTGTCCTCCAGCCTGGCTGAAGGGGTGGAACTGGATGGCCTTTGGGGGTAATCTAGGATGCTGTACCTAATACACACACAGACATATATGTCAATCATACCTATCTGTCACATCTATGGCTGGATGGCCATCTGTGGGGAGGGCTTGGGTCGTGGCCCCCGGGGGCCCCTCTTTGCCCGCAGCAGCCCTCCCTCCCTCCCTCCCTCCCTCCCTCGGGGCTAATCGGCCGGCTTAAAGGGGATGAGGAGAGCTCAGCGGCTGCTTAAGCGAGGCCAAGGCTCTTCTGGCTGACCTCAGGAGACCCCCCCCCCTTATCTCTCCCCCCCCCCGCCCTGGCCTCCCTTCACCTGCCTTGGCTTGGCTTCTCAAAATGTGTCGCTCTGTTGTGTAATAGGCGAGGGTGTCGTGGCTGTCCCGATGGCCAGACCGCTCTAAGGCAGGCAGGGGCCAGCTTCCCCCCCCCCCCCCAGGCAAGGCCACCCCGTATCAATAGTGACAGATAATCCTATCTATCAGAGATCAATCAGATATAGATAAGAGAGACCCAGATATTTATATCGATACGGTAGATACATCATAGGATCCTCGAGTCCGAAGGGATCCCAAAAGATGCCCAGCCCGGCCCCCTTCGTACTGCCAGGCAGGAGGGCACCATTCAAGCCCTCTTGACAGATGGCCATGCTGTCACATCTAGATGGCGAGAGATAATCACATCTACCAGATATCCAGCAGAGAAACATGTATGTATAAATAGTTAGCAATATATCACGTGACACTAGAGCCTGATGGGACCCCAAAGGATATCCAGTCCAGCTCCCTTCAGCCAGGCACAATCAAAGCAACCCTGACAGATGGCCATGCCATCACAGATAGATATGGTTGATTGAGGCAGATATAGAAATATAGACATAGATCCTGAGATGATAGATTTATCATGGAATCCTAAGGTTGGAAGGGCCCCCCAAAGGACTTCCAGTCCAAGCCCCTTCAGCCATGCAGGAAAAGCACAATCCAAGCCCTCCCGACAGATGGCCATGATGTCAGGGCTAAATATGATAGAGAGATATACATAGGTATTGATGTGATAGGTATATAATGGAATCCTAGATTTCAATAGGACCCCAAAGGACCTCCAGTCCAGCCCCATTCTGCCAGGCAGAAGGGCACAATCAAAACAACCCCAACAGATGGCCATGCTGTCATAGAGCGATATGATGGATTGAGATTTCTCTTTCTCTCCCTCTCTCTATATATATGCGCGCGCACACATCAATATCAATATGATAAGATATATCGTGGGATCCTAGAGCCCGAGGACCCCCAAAGGCCATATAGTCCAACCCCCTTCAGCCCTGCTGCAGTCATAGAGAGGATGGTGAGAGAGATCGGGATCTCGGTATGATAGAGAGACCATGGAAGGGGCATCCGGCCAAGCCCCCTTCTTTCGTGCATGCAGGAAAAGCACCAACAAAGCCCCCCAGACAGATGGCCAGCCAACCTCTGCTGAAAAACCTCCCAAGAAGGAAACTCCACCAGACTTCAAGGCAAAAGAGTTCCCCTGACGACTGGCCACACTTCTCAGGTGGGGTCTCCTTCGGCCGCCAGGCGGGCGCTTACCTGCGAGAGAGAGACAGAGAGAGAGAGAGGACGAGACGGACGTGGCACTGCGGCCTCTCCTTGCCTGGCCTGGTCCTGTTCGCAGGTGCCCCGGACCCTGATCCGGGCCTCTTATACCCCCTCGGCCCCTCCCCCGATTGTTGTGTAAAGGCCCCGGTGTGAGTGAGTGAGTGTGTGTGTGAGTGTGTGTGTGTGTGTGGTTGATCTCTGCTTATGGGAGATAGAGTTATATTTGAGGCGGAATCCTATTAGCCTCTTAGGTTGAGTAATGGGCCGCCCGGCCTTTCTGCGCGGAGCAAGGCGATTACGCGGGTGGACAAAAGGGCTCAGCACAGGAGCCATCAGCTGCCCTTTCTGGCCGGGTAGGGTGGCCACTGGGTTGGGGGCGGGTGGCCCCACTGGACCCAGAGTGGCTGCAAAGAACACTCGCCCCATGACATTGAGTCTGCAGGCGGCCCACGGGGATGGCCTTCGCTCTTGGGTTCCAAACAAGGCCGACGTGGCACACAACCCAGAACTCTCTTGTGTGCGCGTGCATGGAGGGCGGTGGGGCTGCGTTTCTTCCATCCCAAGGCACAGTGATCCCCCCCCCCCATATAGACATCTCTTTAAAAAGGGGGGTGCGCCTTGGGATCGCAGGCGTTCTGTTGTGTTGTCGGCACAGAAATTACGTTGCATCTTGCAATGGGAGAAATACAGCATTTAGAAAAGAACCACGTTGCTAGGTCTGCTCAGCAGGGGAACTCTCCGCCCCGGAGTCCGGGAGAAACCCCTCCTTGGGGGGCTTTCAAACACAAGTTGGATGGCCATCTGTCAGTGTGACATGGGGCCAAGCCCAACCGAAACAGTTAAAACATAACAATAAGAAAAGCAGCGTATAAAATGAACATCAAAACCAAAAACCAAGAGCAAAGTTCAATGTCCATCTGTCCGAGGGGCCTTGATGGTGCTTTTCATGCATGAAGGCAGAAGAAAGGGGGTTGGACTGGATGGCCCCTGAGGGTCTCTTCAAACTCTATCATCGTCATCGTCATTAAGAAGAGACTGGGTGGCCATCTATTGGGGGTGCTTTGATGGTGCTTCTTCTGCATGGAGGCAGAAAGGGTTTGAACTGGGCGGCCCATGTGGTCTCTTCCAACTGTAGGATTCCATAACAACCACAACAACGTCTTATTATGCAGAGGCTGGATAGCCATCTGTCGGGGTACTTTGATTGTGCTTTTACTACATGACAGGAAGAAGAGGGTTAGATTGGATGGCCCATGAGATCTCTTCCAACTCTAGGATTCTATAATAATAATAATCATCATCATCATCATCATCACCATCATCATCATCATCATGGAGCCCCCAGTGGCGCAATGGGTTAAACCCCTGTGCCGGCAGGACTGAGGACCGACAAGTCGCAGGCTCGAATCCGGGGAGAGGCGGATGAGCTCCCTCTACCAGCTCCAGCTCCTCATGCAAAGGGGACATGAGAGAAGCCTCCCACAAGGAGGATAAAAACATCAAATCATCCAGACGGCCAATTCTCTCACACCAGGAGTCACTCCTGACATGACCAAAAAAAAATCATCATCATTGAGCAGAGGCTGGATGGTCACCTGTTGGGAGTGCTTTGATTGTGTTTTTCCTGCATGGAAGAAGAGGGTATTTGTCCCATACAGTTTTACAAGGAAGATGCCGGTTGGTCACGAGTCACCAGCGCACGGAGTAAATAATGCACCCTGGCCCGTGAAACATGTGGTGGCCGGGCACGGTGCGGCTTGCTCTGTCGTCATTATCTATCATTGCCGCTTGCTCGCTTTGCGCAATAGGGAGGGAGGGAGGGAGGGAGGGAGGCACACGTTGCGGCCGGGACTGGGCCCGTGACCCCCTAATTGCTGATGCCAGAGCAGATTAGCCAGCGCCGTGAGATTAGCGGGCAGCTATTTCCGTCGGAGTCAAAGGAGCAATGACCTCTGGAGCGGGCGGAGACAGATGCAGCCAAAGGCTACGGCAGGGCTTGGCCGGCAGACGGGCAACCAACGGAGGAACGGGCCAAAGGGAGCCTCTGCTGCGCCAAGACTGAGCCACAAGGCAGGCTGCGCAACAGCGATGCCAGTGCGGAAGGAGGGTGCTTTGATGTGCAATGCCTGT